CCGGGCCCGCCCCGGCGGAGCGGGGCCGCGCAGCGGGGGGGGGCAGCGTGTGGAGCCGGCGCCGCAGCCGGCTTCAGGTGAGCCGTGCCCGCCGGCGGGAGCGCGGCCTGTGCGCCGGGCCGGCCCGGGCTGGCCTGCTCGGCCCAGGTCTCTTCCGCTGGAGCTGGGTTACCGGGAGGGGGTGGGTCGGCCCGTCGGCGTGTCGTCTCCGCAGCGGGCGTGACCGTGCTCGGATCGACTTGGTGCTTGGAGGAGTCCCTTTTCCTCCCAAAGAGCATCCAGCTGGAGCTCTCGGGTGTCAGGCAGTCCGCTTGTGGTGGCTGCGAAGGGCCCCGTGTGGGCTTGGGTTTGTGCCTCTTCTGTCTGTTTGGAAAGGTGGCATAAAAGAGCGTGTGGGTTTCTTTAAAAACAATTTCGTTTATTTGTTTTGCACTTTGGAAGTCCCAGGAATGTTAATTCTGGTCTTTCCTGCCGGCTTTGGAGGACGGCAGGGTGGTATTAAGGAAGTTTATTTTGACCTTAAGGCGTCTTATTTTGACCTTAAGTGAAGGGATAAGGGAGAATGTGGAAAGCTTAACAAAAGCTTATTCAAAATATCGGTTAGATAAACAATTTCGTTTATTTGTTTTGCACTTTGGAAGTCCCAGGAATGTTAATTCTGGTCTTTCCTGCCGGCTTTGGAGGACGGCAGGGTGGTATTAAGGAAGTTTATTTTGACCTTAAGGCGTCTTATTTTGACCTTAAGTGAAGGGATAAGGGAGAATGTGGAAAGCTTAACAAAAGCTTATTCAAAATATCGGTTAGCTGAAGGCAAATAGTGCTAAACAAGCAGACAAGGCAGTCTAAGACTCTAAAAGCAGTTCTCTTCCTTTCTGAAAGGCTTGTGCTTCACTGCCTTGAGTTCTGTGGTTTAGCCTGCCTCCTAGTTTTTGCTCCTCCTCCACTACAAATTTAATGTGGCATTCTCGGAATAATTCGAAGACTAATTTGTATGGATGAACTCCTAGTTGCATACTCTTCTAGCCTAGGGAGAATGCCAGTTCTGAATATAAAAAGGACAGGATGAAAACAGAAAAAAAGGGAAAACAAAATCTTTCGTAGTCATCTCTACACTGTAAATAAGTGAAAAGTGTCGTCCTGTGCCAGAAGGTCATCTTCTAGAGACCTAGCTGAGATTGAAAAGCTCTGAGGAATAGATAATTTCAATAGTAAATGCTATTAAAAAAAATAGGTGACTTTAAGGTCACAACCAGGTCTTAGCTTTAAAAAGACTCGGTATCTTGGACAAATAAGATCTATATTTGCATGTGTTGACATGAAGCGAGTAGTAAATCTCGTGCTTCAGGCAGCGAACTGATTACCCGAGGAAGGAACTTTTCCCGCAGCGTTGCACAACAGTCAGTGTTTTGCTTTCCTTGGGAGAACTCTGTTATCTGCTGTTGCTTGGTGGGAGGGGACGGAGAGGCAGGGAAGGAGAACAAGCTCTTGTGTTTGACCAACAGACTGCGTGGTTCACAGGACTGTAAGGACCATGGTGCTGGGAAATTGGAGTGCCTTGGGTTCCTTTCTCTTCTTCGTGCAGCTTGTGTTGGGGACTGCCCTGAGCAGTTTTACTGCTGCCTGCAAGGGAGTAATGCTGTGTGATACTTGTGTGGGTGCTGAGTTTTCATTAATTGTTGAGAAATGGTCTGGGACCTTAGATGGATGTAGTTTCAAGACTACTTGTGAAGATACCCCTTCCAGGCTTAGCCTTGCCTTGCCACAGCTCCTTCTGCAGGTGATTTTTTTCCCTCTGCATGAACCCAAGCAGCCTGGAAGCATGTCCCTACTAAAGGTGCTGCTGCACCTGGGCGGGCCCTCCTAGCTGGAGGAATGGGACTGTGGCTCAGCTGCACCTGGGCTGTGTAGATGCAGACGGTCCCAGATCTTGTATAGACTTGCTGCATTTGTCCTGGATGAGAATGGAGGTGTTCAAGTGTGGTGTAGGATAAATGTTACTCCAGTGTCTCAAAGGTGTAATAGCTGGGTCCCTATTACTCAGAGGATGTCTATGCTGTACTCTGTTTTGGAGGTCAGATGTGGCCTTGGTTTCTGTCATGGTTAATGTATCCAGTAGTAGCTGGCATCTGTCAGTCAGGCATGCATCATCATTGAGAGAACGGGAAAGGAAGACTTCTTACAGTGAAAGTTGTCTTGATGAAACCTTTAAAAGTTATTAGAAGGAAGAGCAGAAATCTCTGTGAAAATACAGGCTTTTCAGCAGCAGAAATTTGGATAAGAGGGAGTCTGGGCAATGACTGCTAATTTCTCCAAGTGAGGTTATAAAACTAAAATTGAAAAGTCTTATGTCAGATTTACAAATCATTACAAAAAGCACGTGTGGGTATGAAAGAACACAAAGGCATTATGTTCCATCTTAGTTCAGCTCTGATACTTTGGGGGAACAGGGATGGTGGGTTATTTTACCTCTCCTCAGCATTCAGAATGTGCATGGTGTTTGAATGTCTCTTGAAGGCGCAGCTCCCACCAACCGATTTGTCTAGCGTCCTAAGCCAGCTAGCATGAACAGAATCAAGTTCTGCCTTCAGCAGCGATGTCAGTATACAGCGTATCTTTCTCTGCACTGCTGTCTCTGTTGCACGGGCGCAAGTGTTTGTGTAGCTGCTTTGTGAGCTCTGCAGGGAAATATGGCTGAAAAGATCTCTGCCAAGAAAACAAAAGGGAGGTGTGGAGAGAGATCCACCACCTCGCTGCCCAGCGGGATCGTTTCCCAGACTCCGTTTGCAGAAACGGCCCCTCAGCCACGCCAGCACAGCTGAGGGAGTGGAGTAGTGTGGCATGAGCCAGCACTAAGAAACTGCGTGTCTATCATATCCTTTCCTCAGTACTGATAATATCTGGTATCTAGAAGTTTAGGCAGATGTCACCCATGCCCTACAGGTAGGGACAGGAAAGTATGACTTGCCACGTGCTGTACTAATGAGTTAGTGACAGATGAAGCTATAATGTAGGGCTTGAGAATGAATAGGCAGGGAGTCTAGCTGTTGGATTTCAGCACTGTCCTCACGGTTAGTTTCCTTTTTCCAGCTCTGCAAGCCCACTCTTGGGTATATACTTTCAACAACATCTTAAAGAGGCAGTTAGATCCAAAACCATTCCCCACCAGTAACCAAATGCTGCTCTCTTGACTTATTCACCGGCCAGGTAGCAGAGGAAAGTTAGTTTATTTATGACCACTCTGTGGTGCACCATGTATGTAAAATGTGCAGAATGGTCTTTAACATGGGAACACTGGAAGTTGGTAGATCCTGGGGGAACTCCTTTGGTGATGGGCACTGAAGAGGCATCTGCTAGGAGGGGAACAAAAAAGAAGTGCATTGGAGGATAACCACGGGGGTACTGGGCGAATGGGAGTAAAAAGACATTTCTGGGCGTAGAAGTGTCAAAGAACATACAGGTGATCAGAAGGGTAGCCATGTGAAACAAATTGGGAAGAGAGTTGTTGTTCCTGCTGAATTCCAGCTGTTTGGGGAACACAGCTGTATTTTATACATGCGTTTTAATTCAAATGTGTTTTCTTTTTTCCTCCCTTCCCACCTTCTTCTGTTTAAGTGAGAAGAATGACCTAAGCACCATCCAGCCTTTGTGGCCAAGGGCAGCAGCAGGGGTAGGGCTGCCAGGAGGATGGCTTTGCCTGGAAGCTTATGGAGGCAGCCTGCAAACAGAGGCCTTGTGTCCCATTGCACCCACCATCATATTGTTGTGTTCCTGCTGACCTTCTTCAGGTAGGTTGAGTGTATCTCTGCACAGAGAAGTGTTCATCTCACTGAATTTGGGGAGGTGAGGGCATGTCCAAAGAAGGAGAATGAAGGTAGGGAAATAGTCTTAACCTTTGGTTGTGAGCTTGAAAACAAACTTAAAAGCTAGTAGTACCAACCAGTTTGGGAATTGTGCAGTGGTGGAGCTAAGTGTGCTACGCCCCTGGGGAATCCAAACACAAACAGGGCTTGCACCAAAGGTGAGGCTGACTGTGCCAAGCCGGCAGCAGTCTGTTGCGGAAGGGTGAATGTGGGTGGTTGTGGGGAGGAACTAGCTGAAACGAGGAAGGAAGCAAACCCTGATGCTCGGAACTCTAATGCCTGTTCTGACTGATGGAACATGCTGTTGTTGCTTCTGGGGTCCTCTTCTCTCCCAAAAGTGCTGTTTGCAGAGTGTGGACAGGCCTTTAGAACAGAGAGGTCACTGCATCAGATCTGAAGGTCCACTAGATTTGTTTGTTGAAAACTTGTCTGTTACACCAGTTGACAACAGCTGGAATACCGTACTGCCTCTCCTTACAAACTTTGCCTCGCTGATATCCTTTGGTCTTCACAGCAATACTGCCACTGATACCTAATCTGTCTCTGGAAGAGCACTTGTAATGGTGGTTAGCCAGATGAGTGCCTTCTCTTTTCTCTTTATTGGTGTTTTTTTCTTTTTTCCTGAGGTACCTAATTGTTGTTGCACAGTCACCTCCTCTTTTGAAAACAAAAGAGGAGGTCCTTTCCAGTCAAGACCCTATTTCACAACTGCTTGCTAAAATCAGTGTGTCTACCCATAATTTGGGGGTTCCTGCTGCTGACTACTATCTCTAAAACTGCCAGTCCTCTGCTATGCTGCCTGCTTAGACAGCATGTATCTGTATTCTGAGTCCCATCCTTTCCCACTTGACCTCCAGAGAAGATTTGGTCAACTTGTGCTTATGTGTTTTCTGGCAGTTATTCCCTGCTCCATGCTTCCAGAAAGACATTCAGTAATGTCAAAGTCAGCATTTCCAGCCAATGGACTCCCTCCTGCCTAAACAGCACGGCCCCTGAGCTCCGGCCATATGAGGTAAGGACACAAGGGATAGGCAAGTGCAAAGAAAGATGGGTAACTTCCAGTATGCTGAGCTTGTGGTGCTAAAGAGGCCCCTTTAAGTGTTCATCAGGGACACTTCTCAGAATGAGAGCGAGAACTTCAGGTGCCTGAATTGTAGTTTTCTGGATCATCAGGTGATGGTGAAATCTTTCCTGGTCGTCCCCAGAGAGAAACTTCTCAAGAAGTTTCAGTGTTCCAGTGGAAATGGGAACCCCAGGAGAGTCTCTGTAGTAGCCAGCAGCGTGGAGGTGGGGGAGGAGGAGGAAAGAGGGACCCTACCTCTGAAGTGTTGGAGGCAATAAACGAGAGCAGTTAATATGCTTCCAGAGATCTCTCTAAAATCCTGGCTGTGGCTTTGTGGCGGTGTAGCTGCTGCCGCCCTGTTAAAAGGATAGCCAAAGTAGGAGAGAAGAAAGCTATCTGAAAGTGCTAGCTGCTATTCTGAATTGATACTGAAGAATGACTTTGTCTTGCATCTAAAAGGTCTGATTTCCAAAAATGCTGAACATCCAATACCCCTTGTCTGTAAAATCCTAGCTTCAGTGAAAGCGGTGGGAGTTTTGGCAGCGTTTGCTTGCAGAAGAGGAAGCTGCATGCTGCTTGCACCTCACAAATGGGAATGCAAGAACTACCTCCTGGCTCCTACCCATAGTCCTTTTAGGGGCATGTTTGTTTTTAGCAGTGGCTTGTCCCAATGCTTTTGAGAAGTGGAAGAAATCTTGCGTTAACAGCTTGGTCGCAGGCCATGAGATCTATTAGAGCAGGGAGTTCCAAGTCAGTTGCTTGGGTGTTGTCTGCATTAGAAATCATCGGTTATTTGAACGTTTGACTGAGGGATGATAAATGCTGACTTTTTGTGATAAGTGAAAACAGTAAATTGGGCCTGTAATATGTTCAGGATTTTATAGTATGGCAAAAAGGAGTGAGCATCTCAGGGATGCTAAAATGAACTACAGGTGTTTATATTTAGTGCCTTAACTGACATTCAAACAACTAGTATATTTTGGAAGCTGTTTTGATTTTTTTTTTTAATACAGATGATTTAGTGTTTGCTGGATGTTGAGGTATATGTGCCTGATCACGAAAAATGGTCAAAGTGGTCCTTTTGGTATTAATTTAGGTTATGTCAGTGAACAGTAAAGTGTGTTTTGGGAAATTGATAGAACAGATTAAGGACACGAACACAGAAGTCACGTGCTATCGGTTTTGAACTTTGGTATATCTTTTTAACTACAGTTGTTCTTTATTTTTATACTTAAAAATATTTTTTAAAGTATAACAAAATGTTTTGCAGTTGTTTTGTGAGTAGGCCCTAGTATGATTTTATTAGATCTAAGTTGCCCTTCTATACTTTTCAGCCTTTATAGATTTGTGAGTTCTGCGGAGGTTGTTTAATGAGTTTAAGCCTAACAACAAAAGATTTGATTCTCTTATCTTGCTAAGACTCTTAATAGCCTGTGGACCCCCAGGGATATCTGTTTAAAAGTCGAAAGCTACTGGTGTAAGTAGGTATTGGTGGCCTCAAGTGGCAAAAAGTATTTTTCAAGGGATTTATTAGTTTTCTTGGACACATAAGACTTAAGCAGAAGCTGTATCAGTAGGCCTTACCAATGTTACATCTTTTAAACTAAGTGGATGTGTAATTAGTGTTGTCTGTACAGGATGTTCTCCTGGAGAGGTAGAATCAAACTAAACTGATGATATTTGAGTTAGGCACATCCATAGGTCAGGTTTGGATTGGGTTTGTTTGTTTGTTTTCTAATGGAGGGAAGAAAACCGTCCTGATTGATTTTATTCATTCTTCAAGTCATCCTCAAAGCTTGCTATTTTCAGCTGATGTCACTAATCTTAGTGTGGGGACAATTGAGTCTTTTTTCCCTTTTTTTGATCATATTGAAAGTAAAATGAAACTCAGGGTAAGCACAAAAAATAACATTAGTGACTGGAGTTCATTGTAAATAGTTTCCAACCAGTCTATTTCTTCCCCTTGTTCCTTTTGTGTTCTTTCTTTTCTGTTTGTGGCCTGTCATTTCTTATTATGGTTGCTGCCACAAATACTTTAAGGGAATTATTCATTTGGTGAAGACGGCAAGATAAGTACAGAAGAGACACTGCACGTAAAACGGAATATGCCTTTATTGTATTATTCATTAAGATGCTCATCAGTGTTTCTGTGTAAGAAGCTGTCTAACAGTTGCATGCTTGTTAGAAGTAGGGTTTGGTTTGCCAGTCATTTGTCTTGATTCAGGTGGAACGAGCATTTCCTCACTTCTGGTTTGCTGGCTTGCCCTTTAGAAGTGAAACGAAGTGGCAGTGCACATTTTCTGCAGTAGATAATGCCAGAATTGTTCTTGATTTGATAATTAAAGTGTTGGAGGAATGGGGGGTTGCTGGGGCCAGATGCCGTTCTGCCTTGGAGTTGGGGTTTCCATCGAAAAAGAGTAGAATGAGCTATGCCTCCCCCTGTTTACCTGTTAAAATTTTCTCTCTGTAGGTCTGGAACAGCAGCCATTTATTTCCAAATGCAGAAGAAGCAACTCTCTTCTTGGGGACATTGGACACTATCTTTTTGTTTTCCTATGCTATGGTGAGTAAAACTAACCCAAAGCTGCTAAGCTTTGGTTGAATCTTACTGGAATGATCACGCCCACATTTGGAGGGGATAAACAGGATCTTCTTCTTGGACTTGCCTAGCGCTAATGCAGTTAAAAAGCGTAGTGCAGGAGCCAATTTTTTTCCTTCAATGTCTGTTAGTTCTGCCCATGCCTGTCACCCATGTGAAGATGCTTATTAACAAATGCAAGAGAAATACTACCACTTCAGAATTTCTCACACCCCTATCACCAGTTGGGTGGAAGGGCTAGTTCTATATCTCAGAGTTCTCAGCTGAATTTTTTAAAAATAAGAAATTTAATGAACAACTATAAGCAGGGCTTCTTTGGTGGCGGAAGAAGTGGTTAGAATCAAACTGTAAGTTGGTATAACAACAATGTTTGGATCAGCGTGACCCTTCTACATAATTTTAATTCTTGCAGATAACAGATGCAAATCTTGTGGCTTTATTTAATGCTGTGTTTTGTTCTTAGGGTCTCTTTGTCAGTGGCATAGTTGGGGATCGCCTGAATTTACGCTGGGTTTTGTCTTTTGGCATGTGTTCCTCTGCTCTGGTGGTAAGTCAGAACATACTAGTGTGATTTAGAAATCTCTCTTAGGGTTTCTGGATAGGGTTTTGCTTTAGGGGAGAAGAGGCTCTGTTTCTGTGTGAATCTGCCCATGAGCTGTCGCTGTACCTCAGTGGTCTCAAAGTCTGAGTGTAAAACTTTGTTCTGGATGCACTTATTGCATTGTCTAAAGCATAGAGCTACGCTAGATGACTCGCCTCTTCCTGAAATACCTATTTATGGATACTGTGTCAGAAGGAAATTCCTAAGTTTGAGGCACTGTCTAGAGACTTGATGAACAGCTTTTGTGCAAGATTGGTGTATTTGGACTTTTTGGGACTGTTTTGCATTATAACTGTTCTCCCAGCCCACATACGTTGTCATCAAGGCTTTTGCTTCCAAATGCAATCTTTGCGCTCTTTTTTAAAGGACATGCTAACAATACTAAGCATTCATTTACTTATTTTGTAATTTCTGGGAGGGCATGTGTCAAAAAAGAATGCCTACTTAAAAGAAAAGGGTTCTTCAGGTTCAAGCAGATAAGTGTGAATCGGTTTTATCTCATTGAGGTTTTCTGGTTATTAAAGTAGTGGTAAAATGTGTGGAGTACTTTTGATTTACCCAGCGGCTACAAACCCCACTATGGCCTATTGTGTTCTGCAAACATATGACCACAAACATGCATCAAGCACAGTGTGCTGCAAAGTGTGTTTATTTTGGCTAGTTTGGGTTAGGGCTCTTAGTAATTTGAGACCTGGCTGTAGTATTTATGTTAAATTTTGCTAAGACAAATGACTGCTGAGGGTTTTGTGTTTGCATAGAGCCTTGTGGATTCGGATGTCAGTACAATAGCAGATCAAGAGGCTGCTGTATTTTTAGTGTTGTTACTGAAAGTATTTGTCTCTTCTCCTCTCCTGTTATCTTCATAAACAGCACAGTTATAAAAGTCTTTTTGTAATGGAAATGCCATGACAGCACGTTTGTCTCTGGAGTTGTTTGGGCTCTGGAGTCAGTGCTGTGGTGGCTCAGCAGAGGGTGCTATGAGCTCTGAGCTGTTTCTTAAACAATGCCAAGCTTGCCTCTGGCCTGGCCACTGCAGGGGACCTTCTCCCTGAAATGTTATTTCTTTTTTAGGACCCCACTCCTGCCTGGCTTTCAGCAGTACCCTCAGGGTTTCCTCTCTGTTTTTGTTTGGTGGTTTTCTTTTTTTTTTTTGTCCTCTCTAGGTATTCTTCTTTGGCACACTCACAGAATGGTTGCATTTCTACAACAAGTGGTTCTACTGCTGTCTCTGGGTTGTGAATGGCTTGCTGCAGTCCACTGGTTGGCCCTGTGTGGTAGCTGTCATGGGCAATTGGTTTGGAAAAGCTGGGTAAGTCGAGTTTTCTTCAGTGACTCATTTATCTGACCTGCTGAGTAGCAGATTGAGCTGAAAGTCTCAAACCAAAGAGGCCAACTGTTAGGTCAGAATTAAAGTTATGTTATGCCTTACTTGTTACTATCATCTCTTTCTTTTTTTTCTTTTTTTTTTTTTTTTCTTCCCTGGAGCCACAGAACAGCTTGGTGTGAACACAGTTGTGTGTGTTAAAGGCACAGGTTCAAACTTCAAAAGTCGTGTAGTGCAGAGTGGCTGAATTAGAATTTTCATGCCACTGGAAAACCTGTTTCTGTCTGCTTACCACTGAAGAGACCAAATGGAAACTGACTCATTGTAGGTTCAACTCTGTCACTTTGGGGTATTGCAGATGAGCTCTAGCCATAGCTTGTAACCCTGTTGCTGCCAGCTCACCTCTGCTGTAACACAGGTGTTTCAGGATAGAACATTCCTCACTTATCTATTTGGTACCCCCAAGTTATTCTGTGTTTTGTTTTAAGTGACCTTTGAGTCTCTTTGAAGTGGACTGGGAGAATGCTGTAACGTTATTCAAAAGTTAAAGTTTACTCGAATGTTATATCTTTGTCTTGCTCCTAACGTCACCTCTCTCCACATTGCTTTTTCAAAATTTTTTCCCCTTCTGCAGGAGAGGGTTTGTGTTTGGACTCTGGAGTGCCTGTGCATCTGTGGGAAATATCCTTGGGGCGTTCCTTGCCTCCTGTGTTCTCAAATATGGCTATGAGGTAGGTATTGCTGTCTGGCTTCTAGCTAGGACTGCATGTCTGATTGGGTTGTGAGAGACTAGTTTCTTATCCTGTCTCTGAGAGATAACAGGCTCAGAGTGTCCAGTTTCACCTTCCTGAATTCTGTGGTAGTAAGCAGTAGGCAGAATAGAAAGGGTATTCCTTTCTTGACCCTTCCAAGTTGGGAGAAATGAGCCTGAGACTTCTCTGTAAATGGGACTGATGTTATTGAAGAGCCCTAGTGTCATAGTGTATACCCTTTTCTGATTTGGGTGGCTTAAAGTGCTCTTCAGAGTCATCCGTCACAGGTTCTCACTTAACTGAAGTCACTGCTGCTGAATAGTGGCGAGGTTCTGACAGGCATGGAGGCATAGCTTCTGTAACTGGGAAGAGGCCAGGCATGCGCTACATTGCTGCAATGCGGCAGGCAGGCAATTGAATACAGGGAATGTAAGTGAACCAGCGCATCTTGCAGCGCGTGACCTATAAGGACAGGCTAACAGAGCTGAGCTTGTCACTCTGGACATGAGGAGGCTTAGGGTACCAAATAGCAGCCTTCCAAAGCCTGTGAGAAGATTGCTGAGAAATCAGACCCAGACTCTTTCCTGGGTTGCACGATGAGAGGGCTAAAAAGCAGTGGGTATAAAGTGAAGCAGGGACAGTTCCAACTGGATGTTTGGAAAACTATTTCACTATGAAGTTAGTTAAACATTGGAACAAAGGGCCAAAGCCTGGAGGATCTGTCTTTGGAGGATTTCAAGACCTGATTGAACAAAGCCCTGAGCAACCTGGTCCAAATTTGGTGTTTGACCCATCTTTGAGCAGTCCCTTCCAATATAGCTGGATCTGTGGTTGTGTTGGGTGAGCTTCTTCCTTGCTGCTGTCATCTCGGTACACTAAAACAGCTTGTTTCAATGTGGTCTTTCAGCCTAGATAGAACCAAGTCTGTTCAGGAGATGCAGAGATCACTTGTTTCCAAGTTTTATGGATGTAGTCTGGGTTGTTGTAGCTGTGTTTACTCTCTGACAAGGTTGGAATGTAAAGAAACCCTCCTTAGTCAGGGAAGCCTATGTGACTGAAAGTGTTTTAAAAAAATAATCATTTATTTATCTTCAGTATGCTTTCTTGGTGACTGCCTCAGTACAGTTTGCTGGAGGAGTCATTGTCTTCTTTGGGCTCCTGACGTCACCGAAGGAAGTGGGTAAGTAGAAGAGGGCTGTGGCGTTTCAGTCTCTTCATGGAAAGCAGATCTGCAGCTTTCCATGTAGTACTAAAAGTACTGCTCGTTCTGACAGCACTTGTCCTCGGGGCTCTAATAAAATGGTGTTGCGCTTTAGTGTGTTTAATGGAGCAAATGCTTTACTTGCCAAGATCACACTAAATGCCACAGCGCATCATGTGTATAGGGTCTGGATATTTTAAAAAGCAAAATAAAACAGCCTGGCTCTAACGTCTACATTAGGATGTGCCTAATTGTCAGTTTTTCTTCACCTGGAAAATCAGTTTTTTTAAAGAAACAGTAGGCAAACTGGTAACTGGCTATTATAGGAGAAAACTATGGCAAGCCTTAACTGTGCAGTGGGAAGGGAAAGTACTTTTAATCTGCTGGTCTCCTGCAGCCGGTTAAATAGCTCTGAGGTTGGATATGGTCCTTCTTTGAGAAGATGGTAGGCAAGCCAAAGTGTAACAGGAAAACAAAAGAACTTTTGGGCTTTGACAAGGCCATGGAGGAGGTTTCCCAGGTGCCTGCAAAGGCTATAAAGTTGGTAGCACTAAAGCTACCATAAAGAGTGCTCATAAGAGCACTCAGCAGCCCAGAAAGCGCAGTGCAGTTCCTAGGGTTTCTGTTCCAGCGGAGGCATTAACAGGCAGCAGCTGTCTGAGTAGTTGCGGGTACACTCAGCCTCCACGCTCAAGGGAAGTGGTACCCAGGAGCTAGGTCCAAGGATCCCAACCATTAAATAAGGGAGGAAATGCACTAATTTGTTGTCTTCCAACTAATGGCCAGACACTCAGAACAGACAAAGCCGACGCCAGGATCAGACAATACTTTCAAGAGCGCTAGAAGACAGAGGGTAGAAACTGGTGACACTGCAGAACACCATCTAGAAGAGTTTCTAAGCCAAAGGAGGATGGAGGTATGGGAGAGCAAGGGAATTGCTAGAAGGGAGAATTGCTTAAAAGAAGCGAGCATAGCTCTAGAGTGGGGAGAGGGTGAACAGGCTGTGGTCTGTTTTTCCTGTTGCATATCCCTTGTAAAACTTAGGCCTCCCTGAGCTTGGAGCAGATGAAGACGGCAGTGTGGAGGAAGATGCCAACAGACCTTTAATGGGCAATGATGATGCAGATGATGATGACCGGAATTACTCTATTCAAGCAACTGACACTGACAACCAGCCAAAGGCCATTGGCTTTTTCCAGGCTTGTTGCCTTCCGGGTGTAGTACTGGTGAGGACACAGATTCTTGAGTGAGATCTGACTTATGTCGTTAAACGTAAAGCTGACTTTTTGTGTTGTCAGCATTTGTTGACATCATTGTTAATATGTTGACTATGTGTTGTAGTTGTTGACGTCTGACTTCTTATGCTGTTAAAACCTTGGGGTTGGGACTTTTATCCTTGTGCGCATGGATTATAATACTGTCCGGCTGTGTGGTTGCATGTTGCTTTTCCCATCGGACTCCTGCTTCGTTTAGTGCATGTGATGAGCCAACTAAGGGCAGCAGAGATCCTGCCCTTTTTGCTGCTGAATTTAGAGGGGAGGCCACGAGCAAAGGTGGCTGTAGGATGCTTTCTTGGTAAGGTACTTACGCTGCCCTAAGGAGTGGGATTCTCACTGCTAGCTGAGCATCACACAGAACTCTGTGGCACTGATATTGGGGTTTGGGGTTTTTTTTAGTTGCCTTAAAGCAGAAAGCTGGCCTGAAAAGCAGTAATCAGCATGATGTAACATGTGGCAAAGTAGGCAGGTTTTTTTATAAATGACTGGAAACAAGGCCTGGTGATGCAGTTTCCACATAGCCTCATCCTGTCCCTTGTGTGAGAACTTGTACTTCTGCATCAGTGGTATTGCCCAATTCATGGATTTGGTTCAGCTGAAAAATTAACCTGCCATTAAAAAACAATGTTAATTTTCTGCGTCAGTGGGTTGTGTGCCCCCTGAATACTAGAATCAGCACAAGAAAGGGGGCAGGGTGGCTGGCTCAGTAATACAACATGAACTGTCTGGATTTGATCGTGAAGCAGAACTACCGAATTGACAGTATTGTCAGATACCCTTAATGAGTGAAGTGGTTAGTTGTTGTGGTTAAGGCAACACAAAATCTAGAAGGGATAGGTGGATTGTCAGTGTTCAGAGTGCTGGACAACCACAGTTCTGTTGTTAAGACCTTGGTTGAGGGATGGCAAAAGAAAGCATACCCATCTTGAGCTCTTTCCTAATATGGCTAAATGCCATATAAACTATGGCTCAGTTTTGGTGGTGCTAAGAATGGGCTGATGTACAAAGAACCTTTAGGCAAAATTTCTTAGTGGTGGAGGCTGCCTCAGTTGATGTGTGACTTTTTTTCATTGGCCAGCACCTAAGGAGGTACTATAGAACTGATGTTGCTGTTTCTGTACTTGGGATTTTGAGGACATGGTCTGTGCATTAACCCAGCAACATGAACACCTCTGAGTCTGTGAGTTTTATCTGATGTCAGATCAGTGCTCAGCCAAACCAGGACACTATGTCAGATCAGTGAGAGACCAAACACCGAGAGAACCTCCAAAGCCTTGTCAAGATTCTACAAAGACTTTATTTGACATATTTTTTCTGTAGTTCCTCTCTTCTGCTGAGCGATATGGTGGAAGAGTTTTAGTACAGACAGCTTTCCCCTGAGCCTCTAGAAATTCAATGTTTCATCACTCAGACAATCTGGTAGACAGTTTCTAAGCATGTTGTAATAAATACTGTTTCGTACAGTGCACTTTTCACACCCAGAGGCAGGAGAACTCTACCAAACATCCCCGTGTCTTACATCTATGGTGGAGATTAGTTTGTGTCCTGTAAGAGTGAAAAAGCATAATAATAATAATACAGCTAAAAAGGATGTATCTATTAAAACAATATAAAGTCAGAAGAGATGATTTTGTGGAGTTTAATATATAAAAAGATCTGCTTTTCAAAATTTGAAGGCAAGTTTGTACATACATGTATACATACAGTCTCAAAAGTTGTGATTCTAACAGGTTGTTTTTTACGCCATCATCCTTGTTTACCTCTTTAAATATGGGTTCCTTGAACTGCCGTGTCAGTGTTTATCAGGAGGCCTTACTGAAATAGTGTGCCTTGTCCCTCTGCATGCTAGGCCAGCAATCCCAGAGAACAAATCTTTGCCCCACGTGTGAAAACTCTAAAGAAGGAGATCTCCTGCTAGCTAAGGAGAGCTTGAGCCCAGCAACCAAAAGCAGGAGGTTGTCTCAGCTGTTGGGTTTGGAAGCATGTGCTTAGCTTTGGCCAAACCTTTCATCTTGTGTCCTGGAATACCTGCCTGGGGATTATGAACGAAGCTTTCTCTTCTGGTGCTGTAAGCAGATGAGCCTTTTGAGCAGCAGAAGATAGCACAGAGGAACTACTTCACATAACTTTTCTCAGCATGATGCACAGATGACTAAATCTCAAGCTTGTTTGATGTCACGTGGTTGGCTCCCTTCTCTTCAGAAGGTGAATTAAATTTCCTTCGTTTTTTGAAGTCTGGTGTCGCTTCCTCTCAAGATTACACTGGAAGTGTTTTAACCCTTTGCATTCAGTGAAAAGAAAATAGCCGTCTTGACAGTGATTTTTGTATTCGTGGGTTCCCTTTGATGTTCAGCATTAAGCTTTCATAATGCTGCCTTCTTATGTGAAATGCAAAAGCACTTCCCCCTGAAACTTTAGCTGGATACAGAGCTTTATGAGAAGAAGCAGAAACGCTGTTTGCATTTCCCAAGTGCTAACTGCTTGCTGACCCTCTCTTTGTTCCAGTACTCTTTGGCCTATGCCTGCTTGAAACTGGTGAATTACTCGTTCTTCTTCTGGCTGCCCTTCTACCTCAGCAACAACTTTGGATGGAAAGAAGCAGAAGCTGACCAGCTCTCGATCTGGTATGATGTAGGAGGAATCATAGGTGAGTGAGCAAGTGAATGACATCTTCCTGCAGTTGTGCTGCTAGCATTTGAAAATGAAAGACAGCAAATGCAGCTCAGAGCAGTCATGTTCAGTGGGATCTAGCTGTTTATTGAATATATGAAAAGTCTAGTTATGTATGTGGCTGCTTGGCTGTTTTTTTCTAAAACACGGAGTATGTGAGCCTCCTATAGAGTTTACATATAATTTAAAGGGCACTATCTTATTCTTGGACATTACCCCCAGCAGGCATTTTTCTTTACTCACTAGGACTTCTTGAAAAGTGCCGTGTACAAAATGGTGTCCCTGCTGCTTGCTACTTCCTTTCTGACAGGTACCCTTGAGGGAGAGTTTAGATCTGGACTTACTGGGTTCTGTACTGTCCCTTCTGTCGTGTATTTTTAAGAACAGACCCAGTGCAGATCTCAGCAGAGCAGGCACAACTGTGTTATGTTCAGAAATAAAATGTAATTGCACTTGTTTCTGCTGGCTGCAAAATCTCACCCTGTTCCTCCAGAATAAAGAACATATTGTATATGTGTTTAGACTTCCACTCTCCTGTGCTCAGTTTCTTGCTTTATTACCTTGTCCAGCTAGCTTTCCTAGAATAGACATCCTTGTTTTGGTCTGTTCAGGGTCAGGTTTTTTTGCCTCTGCGGCTTTTTCTGTTAGGCTTTCTCAACATTCTAGTTCTTACCAGCAGAGCAGTTCCTACAGAGGTAGCAATGATACATAAGGTGATTTTTATCAGCTATCGGCATTTGTTGCAATTAGTTGCACCTACCCTAAGTAGGTGAGACAGCAGGGAATGCGAGGCCCCTGTGTGCTAATGCTTTCCCTGTGAAAAAGAACTGCCTTCTCCTGCACTTTCTGTTAAAGAAACCAGCCACAATGTTAAGCTTGCTTACATCCAGAGTTGCGGTGATCCTAGAGCTGTGATGGGTCTATAGGGGAAGGAAAAGGAAAGCAGGAGCATTGGCTAGTTGCATGCCAGAAAAAAAGAAGTAATAAATTCCTGGGAAAGCATCATGAGTAGTTTTCCCTGCTCTGTCTGAGCCACTTAAGTTTACTGTTGTCTCTGTGTCTGGGGCAGTAAGGGCAGGAGACATAGTTTTCAGGATTTTAGAGAGAATGCATATTGATGAGAAGGCAAGAGGCCACTGCACTCAGTGAAATGAGTTTTGTTCAAGGTGTTAGCATCCTGAGCCTGATGATGATTTTTTTTTTTGCAGGTGGGACTATCCAGGGCTTGATTTCTGATGTGCTACAGAAGAGAGCTCCAGTGCTAGCAATTAGCCTGCTCTTTGCTGTAGGCTCTCTTTTTGGATACAGCCGTGAGTATGCTTTTGCTGTGCAGTGATAAGAGGTTCATTTGGTACTACTTAGAGAGAACCAGAGCACAGCCTGTTCTAATTATGTTTTCTGGTCTTGAAACTGCTTCTGGATCAGGATGGTGCCTTTTGGTCTATTTTGCCTGAAGTGTGGCACTGCACAGAAAGAAATCTGTTCTCTGGTTAATGAGCTGGAAAAGAATTAGCTGAGTGGCTGGATTCCCCTGTACTGGTGAGTTATGGTACTGATCCTTCTCCAGTGTCAGTGAGATTTTTGGCATTGGCATTGTATCAACGCCATAACTGGCAGAGCAGGAAATCTCAGGTGCATCCCTATAGTAAGAGGAAAGAGAAGCTGGGACAGATCTGTGCTGGAGTATATACAAAGAGGCAGAAGCTCTTAGACTTCACCATTTATGCTTCTGTAAGTAGTGAAATTGAACAGTTTCTGCCTCTCTTATAATAGATATAGTTCTCGGTGATTGGTTATTGAAAGGAGTCTGTCAGGAAAACTGAGTAGGAGGAGACAGGTAGATCTCACTTCTATGAAACAACTATGAAGCTCTTCTAAGGGTAACAGTTTTGTGTCTTCAGACATGGTGTCCTGTGGTACCAGAGTGCTTTAACTCACTGCGATGTCATTTTGCTTCTCTGTGTCTTCCTCCAAAACGGGGTGGCGATAGACCAGCTTTTATAGAGCACTTTGAGATGTGTGGACAGAAATCGCTGCCAGAGCTGAACAGTAAAGTGTGCCTTTGAGAAGCATGCTGGCTTAGTCAGATGGTCTCAAAGTAAGGTCAATAAGGTATAATCATTAAATAGCAAGGATTGGGTTTGGTGGAGTTCGGTGGAGTTTTGTAGGCTCTTGTGCTAACTTACTACTTTCAGAAGTGAATTGGAAGCAAATATAAAATTATCGCTGACGAAGTTTGAAGTTTGTTCTAGATAGCAGAGCAGCCAGAGGTCTAAGTGTCTTGTGCTTAGCTCTGTCCAGCCAGATACAGAAGGCTCAGACAGGCGATACAAAGTTACTGCAGTGTGATAATTAAATTTCCATCAGCTGAACCAGGAAACCTTTTCATGCTCGTAGGGTGCTGAACATAAGAGTAATAATGGCCTGAGAATATGTGCAGTGGGCTGCAACTTGCCTTACGCATAGCAACTTGACCATGCGTGGGCCCTAAGTTGAAGCAGTGAGTAAGGAATTCAGGTGATGCCTGGAAGTGATGAGGTATCAGAGAAAATGGTGTCTGAAAAGCACTGAAAGACTAGTGGAAAACCAGCTGCATGCACACAGTATGATGCTGTTCCTGGAAAGGCAAGCAGAACCTGTAGATACCCAAGCATGGCTTTGTAAGGAGGAGTGAGGATATGGGGTTTTGCATTTTTTACTTTATTGTGTAGCATTGTTTAGGCAGTTACTGGATTACTACCTCCAGATCTAATCTCGGTATTTTAAAAAAGTTTTTGGAAAATTCAGAACGAGTGGAAAGGTGATTCAAGTGCTGAATACTTTATGGTGGGAGAGACTGAGTTGAGTCTAACTTCCCCAGAGAGGCAGAGGGAGGATTCTCTTACTATTCAAATGGACTTTCAAGGAGGGTAAATGCAAGCTCTGTGTCACAGAAAGAGGCATAACAAGGGCTGGAACCCAGAGCCAGGCAAATCTGATATCGAAATAGGGCACAAAATTTTAATGTCAAAGGTGACTTTTCTACTGTAAAGTGCTGTCGGGGAAACTTCTGGGTCTTTAGTCTCCAAATGCCTTTGCAGCAAGACTAATCTCTGTAGAAGTCTCTAGTCAAATAGAAATTATTGTTGTTACTATGTAGCTAATTGAACAGGCAGTTCAAACTGGATGTTTGCATGCTTCTTTCTGATCCTAAGTAAGTGGCTTTCTCAAGTTCATTTGTTTCATTTACACTCATCTGGTCTTTCTCTTGCAGGTTCTCCCAACAGCAAACCTATCAATGGTGTGATCATGGCAATTACAGGTATCTTATCAAATGCCACTGTTATGCTAGTAGACATATATATACATTGCAGAAAAATCAGTAACACCAGCCTCGGGTGGTGGTAATGTATTTGTGTCTGCTGCCATCTCTGCTGGCTTTGCAGAGAGAGTAAAAGCTGGGGTCCAATTTCTGTTACTGTTGGAATACAGCTGTAGAAAAACTGCTTTACAGAGGGAGGTATAGAATATAGACTGTATAGAATAATGGCTTGGAACTAAAGGGGTCTGCCTTGGCGCTCAGTATGATGAGGACGGATTTATGCCAAAATACCTAGCGGTGATCTGGTATCCAAGGAAGTGTATATATGGCAAAGTCATGAGCTGCCGCTCAAATTTGAGGGTGTTTGTCTGTCAGAACCCCAAATGCCCTGTGTACTGTGAGAGGTCACAAGCTTTGTGTGCTACCAGACATACTATGCTGTGTTATGGAATTAAGATTAGCCTGCATGAATAGAGCCTTTCTTTTCAAACACTCCTACTTCAGAACTCTCTGTCCTGTTGCATTCCCCCCCCCTCCCCTTCCATCTCCTTCACATCCTCAGTCCCTAGAGACTGAGGCAGTAGCACAGGGGTATACTACTCCAAAGTAGAAATGTGTCTAAATCTGCTTCGTGTTGAGGGTTTGTATATGCACGCTGTTCAAAAGCAGCTTTCTGTATTCAGTCTGTGTCCTGAGTCTTCTTGCACAGTGTGCCACAGCTACGTGCTGTTCAAAAGTAGCTTTCTGTATTCAGTCTGGTGTGTCCTGAGTCTTCTTGCACAGTGTGCCACAGCTAATTACCTCTTTTTTTGCTCTTGGATGAAAATGTGCTTGTTGGCAGTTTCTATGTGCGTACTCCAGGTACACAAGGTGTGCCATGACCGTATGCTTCAGTTGTGAGGGTACACGTCTACCTACAATTAGTCCGTGATCGCTATCCCTAGACTTAATCCTTTTCCTGAGCTTTGCATGGTAGAAAAATCTGTTTTGAAGATGTTCTGTTGAGAATCTATCCTTATGCTTGTTTTGCACCAAGGCTGTTTTCTTGGCACTTCCAGGATTTTTCATCGGAGGCCCTTCTAACATGATCAGTTCTGCAATTTCTGCTGACCTGGGGCGCCAGGATCTGGTGAAAGGCAGCAGCGAGGCTCTGGCAACAGTCACAGGAATTGTGGATGGAACTGGCAGTATTGGTGCTGCAGTGGGCCAGGTGAGGCTAGCAAAGGAAAATAGAGGTCTGGGGAAGGAGGCAGAGAGTCTGTTGTGGTTAGAGATGTTAGCTCATTCCTCAATCCAAAGTTGCATGGAGAGAGAGAGAAACGGGGGGGGGGGGGGGGGGGGGTGTGTTTTAAAATTATTTATTTAAGAAACAACCAAGGGAACATGTGTGTGTTTTGCTTCCAGTGGAAGCAATGTAATTAAGAACTAAACTAAGTATTCATAGTGCTAATGTTATGGCACTTTCATTATTCAAATGAATTTTAGAGACTTTCATATCCTGAACTCCAAAAAGCAAGTAAAGGTCAGCTTCACAAAGAGTGAAAATAAAATATTTTGAAGTTTTTGTTCAAATGTAATAGCAAAACCTTTGCTTACAGAAAAGTTTACCTGTATAACTGAGTAAAATTAGAATATCTATTATGAATGTTACAGTGTTTATAAAGTAATTTAAAATTTGCTCTTATTTATGGTTCCCCTTTTTATCTGTGGATGTCTTTTACACCTTGTAAATCCAGCACCACTTGCTTTGATAGTCCTTACAGTATGCTGCCAGAGGTCTGAAGACTAGACTGTTGCAGAAAAGGACGCTGACAGTGTGCCCACTGGGGACATTCTTTATTCTCAAATACAAGTGTTAACTATGTGGAAGAACACAGCGGTGCTTTGGGGAGGGGAGGATTTAGTAGAAAGATTGAAACCAGTTCTGTTCCAGGCATCCTCTAGTGCTGGTAAAATACCAAGGACGCAGGCAAGGCATACAAATTTCTTTTCTGGAAAGGGATCAGGGTTTGTACTTGCCATTGATTGCCTGATAAATACAATCATTCAGTCTGTATTTCGTAGGAAAGATGCTGCTTAGCTCCAATAAACGTGGAAAATTACAAGTGCTTTGTGGACATATTAAAGTGCACTGTTACACTCAATGTTCTTCTTGCATTGTCTACAGCGCTTCTGTCTTCCCACACACATACCATTCAAACTTACGTTATCATAAAAATTGGGTCTTCAGTTCTGAAAAACTCCACCTGCCTCCCATTCTAAGATGGCATTTATTTCAACAGAGACAACCATGATGTCATTCTGGGGGTGTGCGAATAACAGCAAATGCACAATGAACATGTTAGAAATTCAGATCCTGTTTTGTGCTAATATACCCAGTAGGGAAGAAGGGAGGCCCTTGTACAGCATCTGAATATAAATCTGCTAATAGGGAATACATTTTCTTTTGTAGCCTGTGTAGTCCTGTTGAACTAGGATGCAGTTCATAACAGACTGTAGTCTCAAGTGTCTTGCCTACGATGAAGGGTTAAGTAGTTAGTGGCTGCACAGCTCTCGAAAATGCGTCCTGTGTAATTTATAAGCCATTCTAGAGCTTTTAGTTCTTCTGAGAGTACTTACATCCACTTATGTCCCAGCGTTCTGTGCAAAAACCTTGTATTCAGCGGAGTCAATTTGTCACCCTTTGAAACTGTAGTTCAGTTCTGTCTTTATGCTGCTATGAGTTACTGTAAAGCTTCAGGATGGTATTGCCGCTTTGCTGAGACTGTGGGTTTTATACAGGAAGGCTGCTGTCCTGAGTCATCTCTTCTGACAGGAAAAGATCAGCTGGAAGGTTTTGTGATCAGCTCTGTATGGAGCGCTAACAGCCCACAAATTCTAGAAAATGAAAGAGTAATGCCTGAAAGTTATGCTTATCTTCCTGATTTTAATAATTTTTTTCCCCCCTTTCTTTTTAGTATCTAGTGTCTTTGATCCAGGAGAACCTGGGATGGATGTGGGTTTTCTATTTCTTTATTCTAATGGTAAGAAATCTCCTTTTTTAAAATTCTTTGTCAAAGTTCAATTTGTAATAGAAAGTTTTTGCGAGAACCTGGAAATTGTGACTTAGACATGCAATCTGTTTCTGCAGCAGCTGCAAACTCTGATGCCATTCTCAAAGTGGACTATGGTGTGCCTTTGCCTCAGGGTGTCTAAATCAGCTGGGTTCATTTTAGATCCTTTAAAGTCACATTGGCCAATAGGAACTGAGATTGTGGCAGAGGCACAAAAATACTTGTATGCATTTTCTAAAGCTCATACCACCTGACTGACTTCCAAGGCAGGACTTTTTCCTCCTTCATCTCCATGATACGTAGTTCCTAATATTTTCGGGGAGCTGAAGTTAAGCTGCTTGTTTGTTAGCCCTTGAAGATTAGTGGAAGGAGTGATGAGGATCTTGACACTAAAATGAAAATGCCTTGCCCTGGTATACCACTGGGGGAGAAGACCATTCAGGCCCTGATCTCCTCAGCATTGCCACAGTGGTGAATGCTGTACAGTTCACCTGTTCTTCCCTGCTGGAAGTGCCAGGAATTGTCTTTGCATCTGTGCTGTCAAGGGAAAAGGCCACAGGTAAGCAGCAGAGGTGGCCAGGAGGAAGGCCGTTGAGGAGGTGAAGAGCTCATCTTCTTTATGAAGAGAAGATCATGACAGCTGAAATTGTAGAGCTTTCCTGCAAGCTCAGTCCTTCCATCTGCTGTGCCACTTTGTCATTGCCTCTCTTAGCCTGTATCTTTCTGGGGAGGCCTTGAATGCAGATTGGAGCGCAGGATGGCTGCAGCTATGGTTGCTCTGTGCTAATTGTCCTGGATATGCTTCTTTTCACAGACGAGTTCAACAATCCTGTTCATTTCACCATTAATAGTGAGGGAGATCAAATTGCTTCTGCATGAGCGGCGCCTGCGAATGCTGGCTGAGTGACTTCTGCTTGCCTCTGGAAGGACTATTTTATGGACCTGACAGCTGGGACGCTAATCAAAACTCTGGGAGACTTGTTTCTTACATCCTCCAGGTTTGGACTAATTCAAAATGGCTCTGCAAGGCTTGATTGACCTGCCTTTGTGAGCTCAATAGTGAAGTACCAAATACCCGTCCTGAGACCACCCGCATCCTGGAGCTGCTGACCTAAGCTAGACAATCCACGGGACTGGCAGATTGTCCCAGCCTACCAGACTCTTCCATGTCAGCAGTCGCACTAGGGTCTTCTGTTGGGTGGTCTCACTGCTACACCCTTTCTTATTTATTTCTGGATGTCCTGACCAAAGGTCAGCTGTTTAAAACTGACGGTGGAGAGGCTGTCTTGCAATGAACTTTGATGCTGTGTTGTGCCGGTGGAATCATACAGTGCATTTCATGGGTAGTCTAAATTTATGATCACTTTAGCTTTTAGAAAGGGCAAAAATAATTATTTGGAATTTGCGCTGTCCAGTTGTTTAACGAATGCTGTTGCTAAATCTCTGCACAGGCAGACCTCTGCTACCCCTAGCTATTAACTGTCTCATATTCCAGTAGATTCACATGGAGAAGTTACCTCCATATTTGTTTTTAGCATTTTTTAATAATAGTAATAATCTCTGGGAACTGAGACTTCAGTTTTTAACTATTTAAGCAGACAAATAGTGTGCAATACTTTACTGTGATCTCTGAGAATAAGCCTTAATAGATCCTCTGTGTCTAAAGGATCCTTGAATGGCTTTGGGGATCAGTAATGGGACATAAATACTTTCACTACTGCTTTGTTATTTGAACTCTCATCAATACTGACCAAAATGGGACTGTCAGGTGACCCTCTGAAGGAAGCTGGTGTCACTGATTTCATACTCATTGTGCAATTGCTCATCTCCAGCAAAGAGAACCAGAATGGAATTAAAGGAATTGGAGGGACCTGGCTGCTCTCGGACATGGGCTTCCAGACAGGGACTGAAGCGTACTCATGGAATAGCATCAATGAGCAAGTGCTGCTGTCTTCCCCCATGCTCCTCTGCCTACGGCTGCGCAGGGGACCTCAAGCTCCAGCGTTTTAAAGCTCGAGTTGTCCCTTGAAGAGAAAGGTAGATGCAAGTCAGCACTAAAAACATGTGACTGCACTTAGCATGGTGGTATTTTGAGTATTTTGCAGTACTGCGGTAAGCAGGGTGACCGACTGACACCTCTAACATTTGTTAGTGATGGTAATGGGATCATCGAGTAACTTCTTAACAAATTGTTTTCTGCTTATGCCTTGGGATGTTTCATTGTAATAGGTATGTGTTAACCAGCAGAACTTCTGATCAAATACTCAATCTAACTAGTCAGCAATGCCTGGATGGGGGTGGGGGGCAGGAAAATTCCTGGAGCTGAAAATTTGAAACTTTTTAAATGGGAAAAGTTGCCTTTTTAAAATGTACAGTGGTTTTATTTTTTTTAAATTTATGAATGTCAATTTTTAGTCATGTGTTGATTGTAACAAGTGGAACATTATTAGTGCCTTACGGTTTTACTGTATTGAACGGTTGCTTGGTGATAGTTGCTTCTGCAGTGACGTCTCTGTGCACAGCTTTGCTTACTGTGAAACTCAGTTGCTCCATTTTATACATTTTTGAGTCTCTTTCTTTCTTTCTTGGTGGAGGCGATTCTTGCATTTTTTGCTAACCCTCGAAAAATTTCAGTGCTTGGGAAAACGATGCCGTTAAACTGATGGGGGACCTGAATCCTGTTCTTGTCTCTTCTCATTCCCATTCCAATTTTTGCCTGTATAATTAGAGCAGGAGACTGAGAATCTATCATCCTGTTCTCAGAATTATGCCCTGGGGTTAGTGTTCACATCCCAAGCTACTCATTAGCCCCTGTACAAATAGAATCAAAATTCCCTAAAATTTAGCTCTAAAATTGATGGCGGCACCGTTTGCCCCAGCCACGGTGTCTGAGAATCTGTGGTTTCAAATTCCAACCTGGATGAGCTTTTTGGCCGGCTGTCTGGGCGCTAGATAAGCTTCTGATGAAAGGTGGGGTGGGAAAGGGACGTCGCCGGGGTCGGGGGGAGGAGAGGCAGGCCCCTGTAACAAATGGTTTCCTGTAAACAGTTCTGTCCCCTCTTGAGAAGTGTCAGATGTGTTGTGAGCGCTGCAAACACAAGCTGCCCAGCAGCTCGCATGTAAGTGTGCGGCGGTGCTTTGAGGCCACCCTCAATTAGCGAGGCGTGCCTATGACTTCAGGATTGTTTTGTTGTTGTTGTCCTGGACTTTTGGTTCTGTGTATTTCCTCAAGGTGCTCAGGTGGAGAAAGGTTTTCACTCTGATCGTGTCCAAACTGATCTCACATGAATAAATTTACTTTGACTTCATCTGGGGTAATTCTTCCGTGTGCTTCATTCCACTCTCCTCGATGTGGTTCTGCTGAGCGTGCTTCTCTTCCTCCTCATTATAGGCCTAGGTCTAACAGCTGCTTTTCACTCAGCTGCTGCGAAGACCTGAGCCCTGACTAGTGCTGAAACCAAACCCTGATCCCAACCTAAAAGGGGGACCGTGTTCCCACATGCTGCGGTTTGGCACTCTTCCTGATCAGTCTCACGAGAAGCTTTGTGAGAGTCCCCTAACAGAGATGCCCATAACAGTGTAATTAATGGTCTGAAATGAAGAAGCCAGAACACATACTTGGTTTTATTTATTTGTTTGTTGAGCTGCATGTAGAAGTCAGGTGTTCTTCCCTTGAAATTAAACGTGCCACGCGGCTGCTGGCCCTGCTCTGCCTTCTCTCCTGTGGCTTGTTTCTTTAAACACCAATCCACACCTACGCTTAGCTGTGTTTAAATGGACACAGCGGGGAGCTTTGTAATTGTGTTTGTGTTTTATAGTTTACCGTAAATTCAGAGTTGAGCACAATACCGGATTGCTGGAGAAACCCCCATGCCTGCACGTTCCGGTCCCTCAACTCCAAGTAGTTTGGTGGTGCTATGATGCTACTCCTCAAGAAAAGTGACAATTCGTATTTTTACCCCTTTTCTGTCACTTTTTTTTTTCTCTATTCATGAGGAACTTTCTAGCCTACTCTGGAGGTACTCTAAGGAGTAGAGCTTTGCTTGAGTATCTATTTGAAAATGCTGATAGTAGCAGTCCCCATCACCGCCACTGTGACTGCGTTCTCCAGAGCCCAATGTCTGGGCAAGCAGAAGTGTAGGAATTACTTAACTTCAGAGTGCAAAGGAAGCGCATTAGGAACCGATCTCTAGGCGTTTGGTTGTAGCCTGGGATGTGACAGACTGTCTGACCAAACTGGTTATGAAAGAAAAGGTGTGCCTCCGCCCCGTAATGCTTTTCCGTATCAAGGAAGGTCCTTGCAACAGACGCCCTACAAGCAATGCTCCTGCGTCCTGGTTTTCATAGGGGACTGGAACCCGATGGGACGGAAGTCTGCCCGGTGGCAGTATCACAGTGCTCTCCAAAGGGGGAAGAGCTGGGCTTCTGCTCTAAGTGCCGGGCAGCCTTAGAGAGCGTGTGAGCTGCCTGTCCTCGCCAAACCCAGAAGAGCGGCTTTCCCTTCTGCAGGGAAGCGGGAGGAGAAGCAGCAGTGTGCTTTAAGGGTTGTTGCTTTCTCCCTGAGATAAAAGGAGAAAGTATCTATTTCGAGATAGGCCCACAGCTCTCGCCAGTAAAAGCACTAGCTGTTCAGGAATGTCTCAGACACACCACTGATCACTTACTCTTGTGTAATTTTGCCCTCTATCCGGCGGTGGCCAAAGTGCTCTGCCAAGCCTATTTGCAATTTCTCCCCCCTTCTTTTCTAACTCAGAGTGCCTACGGGGATGTTTTGGGTTCTGTATTGGAAAAGTTTTCTAAGGCACAGCATGCCCACCTTCCTACATCTTTGTCAAGCCTTATCAGCCTGAAAACTGTTCTCTGAAGGCTGTAAATACAAGCTCTTAGACCATTTTGTGGGGTTGGATCTGGGGGGTGTGTGTTATGTACAAGCCCATGAAAGCATCTTGGTTCTATTAAAGCCTTTCTTAAATGAGAGTTGCTTAGATGAATATTTAGAGTAATGCAAAGAAGAAGAATTTGGGTGATTGCTGTGAATGTTCCCTCTGGTTCTCCTGCGCTGGTGATTATGTCTGTGTACATGTCTGGATCCCTGGAGGTTCTCCTGGAATGTCCCCTTTGGCCTCCTCCGTAACAGCGTAGAGGTGTCTATGAAAACAAACGCAGCGGGCAAATCCAAATGTACTCCTGGAGCATGGGAGCAGATAGCAAGCTTTGTGGTGCTCTTGTTAGGCTTAAGGTTACTGCCAGGAGAAGGAAGATTTCTGTCTGAGATTACAGAAGCCCAGGTAAACTGTTTGAGGACAACCTATCTTGTTTCTGAACAGTTTTTAAAGCAGCGATGGCAGTTGACGGACCTCTAGGTGAATTGGTGAAGTCTGTGTCCATTGGTGGTGTTGCTCGGTTGCGAAGGATAGGAAATCCATACACCACCACGTCTTGTCCTTGTGGCCCATATAAGTAACAATATAATCCAGAGCATACCAGTGGAATGACAGCAGATAAGGATGAGGTTACTGGGATGTGCTATTTAAATCTTCTTTCTTTATAATGTGGTAAGCAAAGTATTGGTGATTTGGGATGAGTTGATTTCTCTGGGCTCTTGGATTCCAACACTAGCTCAGAGAACTCCTACACCTAGAGACCTACATCCTCACTCTTTTTCCCGTTTTCCAGGTGGGACCAGTTTCCAGAAACTCACTCATCTGCTCTGGGGTGCGTGGCAGAGAAAAGCAACAACATTGGGCTGACAAAAGCTGGTGCTTGCCTGCAGCGAGTGCCAAAGATGACAAAGCAATTGGGTAATAGCTGACTGTCCTATTCAGCCGGAAGGATGGGAGTATGCGAGAGGCAATTTCATCGGGGCTGGCTCCACTATCCATTCACCTCTTCTTCAGCCTCCTGGCCCTCTGCTGTAACTCTTGCATCCTTCTGGGAATATTAATGTTTCTTTTCTTCCAGTCAGAAGCAGGTTCATCCCAGGACTGCTTATCAAGGCATGGCAGCAAGTAGGGTAGACAGCACAGGGCTGTGGTTCCTGCTGTTGAATGCAAAGGAGCTGTTACGTGAGGAGAGATGCAAAGGTGGGAGCCCTGCCTGCAACAGCAGGCATGCGTCAGCATTGCACCAGCACAAGTGATTTCTGAATCAGTGCACACCTCCAAAACGTCAGGTGAGCGCGTGTGCAGGGCTGGTAGGGTCTCTGCTGGAGGTGGCTTTTCACTGCTTAGCTTTGTTTCTGTGCCCATCTGCGATGCTGTTCTGGGCTACTGGAGCTCCCAGGCCCTTATTTAAGCACCATCTTGTCCCTGTGTGCTCAGGCAGCATCAGGGCCGGTTTCCCTGAGGGAAGGAGGAGGGTGTGGGGGGAACGTGGAGCCATGGCCCCAGCAGCTGGGTGCCACCCTGGTTCTGAAGGACTCTGGCCTTTGCTCCCAGATGGCGAAATCCAGACTGTTTTATGCACCTGGTTCTGCTGTACTTTGCCACTTGCTTTGGCCGCTGTTTTGCTCTCAGTTGGATGAGGATCTCTGCCTGTCTTCTGCGACTTCGCTGACTGCAGTTTTCTCAGCTGCCTTCTCTTCTTAGGAAGGGAGCAGGGAGTCGCTTTGGGGTGTTTCTCATAAGTCAAAGTCTTGGTTTGCCAGACTTGCTCTTTTCTTCCTACTTTGACTGTTTCACCTCAGGTTACCTGTTCAGTCTCAAATGTGCAGGGCCGGATTCCTCCCTCTTCTGTCCCCAGTCCCTTTTCTTTGCTCCAGCCTTTGTGGTAGCTTGTCTCCAGGCCTAGAAAAGGAGCCAGTATTTTCTGTGCCAACAAAGTGAGCATTGTAATGCAGTTGCAGAGTGGGTGGATGTGATTGCCGACAGACGTATTCCTTCTGCTAGGGTGTGGATTAAAGCTCAAGGTGACTTTGTTCCTGCATAAATTCACTAACTTTCCCCAGGGAACCGAAGGGGCAGGGGTGGGAGGGGAGAAGTATGATAAATGAAAGTTTCGGAAGGAAATGCACTTACATAGCACGCACTACGAAAGCATAAATGTGTGCTCTGTGAGGAGCTTTCAACATAGCTTAAGGTAGCACTCCATGGATTAAAAAAACCGCCCAGGACGATGTTTAGCTGAGAAGTTGAGCGGGGCTCTCTGCAGGCTGCTATCCCGGTGTAATTGCCTGGGTAAGTGGATTAGCAAGCAGCAGCGTGGCTTGTTCAGGGTTAGGCAGGCTTCGAGGGGAGCGAGGAGGGCACTGTTCCTCGCAAGAGGATGAGACGGAGGCAGGCAGCCTTTGCTGCTCTCTACCAGTCAGACCTGTTCGACACTGAAAGCTGTGGCAGACAGTGGGGTTGT